GGCCGGCGCCTGCCCCGGTTTCCCGTCGGGCTCTCCTCTCGGGTCGCCCGCGTTCGTAGTTTCCCGCTCCCCGGGGTGGCGCCTGCAGCCCGCACCCTCGGCCCGCCGGGAGCGGACCCCAGGCGCGGTGTGGACGGAGCTCCGGCAGGCCCCAGCCGGTCCCGTCCGTTAAAGGCCCACGGTGCGCCTCGCGTCGACGCCCCGGGCTCTGTGAGCGCTGTGAGGTTGAGCAGAGGCGGGAGCCCCAGACACGACCGGAGAGACCGGGACACGACCCAGACACGACCCGAGAGACCCGGACACGACCAGACACGACTGACGAGACCCGGACACGACCCAGACACGACTGACGAGACCCGGACACCACCCAGACACGACCCGAGAGACCCGGGCATGACCCAGACACGACCCGAGAGACCCGGACACGACCCGAGAGACCCAGACATAATCCAGACATGACCCGAGAGACCCAGACCCGGACACAACCCAGACACGACTGGCGAGACCCGGACCCGACCCAGACCCGACCTGAGAGACCCGGACAGGACCCAGACAGGACCCAAGAGACCTGGGCACGACCCAAGAGACCTGGGCACTACCCGAGAGACCCAGACATGATCCAGACATGACCCGAGAGACCCAGACATGATCCAGACACGACCCGAGAGACCCAGACACGACCCAGACACCACCCGAGAGACCCAGACCCGGACACGACCCAGATGCGTCCCAGACATGACCTGAGAGACCCAGACACAACCCAGACACCACCTGAGAGAGCCAGACACGATCCAGACACCACCCGAGAGAGCCGGACATGATCCAGACATGACCCAAGAGACCCAGATATGACCTGGACACGACTTAGATACAACCTTAGAGACCCAGACACGACCAGACACCACCTGGACACGACCTGGGAGACCCAGACATGACCCTGACAGGACCTGGACAGGACCCCTACAGACCTAGACAGGACCTGGAGAGACCTGAAAGGCCCAGATAGGACCCAGAGGTGTACCACTGCCTGCTCTCAGCTGGCTTCCATCCCATCAAGAATAGGAGCCATGCACACGCCTGCCCGGCCACTTGGGGTTGCCACACACCCTGTGGTCATTTTTTTTTTTTTTTTGTCAGTTGTGGGGCTTGAACTCTGGGCCTGGGCGCTGTCCCTCAGCTCTTCAGCTCAAGGCAAGTGCTCTACTACTTGAGCCATAGCACCACTTCCAGTTTTCTGGTGGTTTATTGGAGATAAGAGTTTCAGAGACTTTCCTGCCTGGGCTGGCTTTGAACCATGATCCTCAGATCTCAGCCTCCTGGGTAGCTAGGATTACAGGCGTGAGCCACCAGCACCCGGCTG